AGTTCACCCATAGCGCGCGCTGGCTATACCAAATTTTCAAGAACCATATCTCAAAAACTAGGTAAGCTAACAAACTGTAATAAACTGCAAAATAAGGAATAAAAAATGTCATACATTTTGATAGTAAAATCATGATAATAACTTCATTGGTTCTTGAGATATGCGCCTTTAAGGTTTGGGTACCAAAAAAGGAGGCGATGGCGCTACCCCAAAGCGCGCGCAAAATTTAAAGGCGCAGATCTCAGAAACCAAAAAAGCTAGAGAATATTTATCAAATAACAAAATGTAGCAAATTTTATGTTTAACATTATACAAAAAACGCGAGTTTAATAACACTAGTGGTTCAAATGTTATAACGCTTAGAAGATAACACCCTATTTTTTGGTTCAAAGTCTTATATCTCAAAAGCTAAAATTGCTAGGAAAAAGTTATCTACTAATAAAATGTGTGAAATTTTACGCTTAATATTTTGCAATAAAAATCTCTGTCTTTCTCATTACAAAAACGCCCCTGCTTTTTGCGTAATTATAAGCACCTTCTCCGTTATTATTAGTAGTTTTTTTCCCTTCCAATTGTTGTACTTGGCAACAACCTCCTCTCTTATGTTTGTGTATGTATAGTACCCTTTTTCCTTTTCCTCCCCAATGTATACAGATTGATATCTTCCTTCTTTTTTCCTTCTTTCCTACTTCATGGGTATTAGTACAATAGTCCTTCTTCCGGGAAGATTCCACCGCTCTAAAAGGTCATATAGGTGTCGATTATAGGGTTTAGAAGTAAAGGGTGAAGGTCTGTCCTCTTTTAAGAGGTTTTACGTTATCCTTTGACTCATTTTTGGGGGGTTTTTGGATTTTTGAAAACTTTTTAATGTTTTAAAAATTTCCTCTCCGACTCCCCGGCCTCTCCTGGCGGGCGCCAAAACCCACCGCTTCCTGTACGCCATTCACACTAATGCCTAGGAATGCGCCCATGGTCGATTGGCTAGCGCTCCCGCTTTTGAATCTCGAGGTCCCGAGTTCGACTCCACATGGCGCCAAACTCTTTTTATTTTCTTTTCTGGCTTGTCTTTTCAGTTTTCTGCCTGTTTAGGTGTATTTTCTTTAGCTTCTAACCATGTGGGGTCCTTGCGGGTTCCTATAATTTACGATACCCAAAGTTTTATTACCTTTATCATCGGTTTAATCAGGTCACGCATGGTCGTTTATGGCCTTGCTTTTTTTGTAGCTTTCGTTTTTATCAAACTAATTGTAAGTATAAAAAAACTAGAAACCAGGTGTTTACAGTTGGGATTACTGTAGAGAACTGTTAGTTTTAAAATGATCTCTATATCTATTTCCCTAGGGGTAGAAAAGAGAGTTTATTTAGTTTCTCTTGGTATTTGTGTCTAATCCTAAAACATGAGTTGAAAAGAAATAATAAAAATTTTGGTTTCTTTTTTGAAATTTTTAAAATTTTTAAAATTTTTTGAAAATGTTGGATTTTTCAAATTGCCTCCTCTTCCTCGCCCTCTCCTCGCCAAGGTGCGATTGACCAATTACAGATGAAGAGCTATAAACGACCCAATTACTCACCTGCCGCGAACTAGTGGTTCTACAAATGACCATTTGCGAGCAATATGCGTATCTTACTAACTGGCCCTATAAAAGGTCCACAATTGACCAATCGCGAAAAAAATCTTGTTTTTTCTTTTTCGAAATTCTTTCACCTATATTGGGTATTTTTCACCTATATATGGTCCGGTGTTCGATTCCCCTTGGAGCCAAATCTTTTTTGTTTCACTTTTTAACATGTGTTATCTCTCCCAGACGACTTCAAAGGCGCCGAAAACGGTTTCCCATAATATTTGAGCTCATCTCTGGTCTTTTTCAATGTTATCCACATGATTGTTTTCTTATTTTTCTAGAATTTTTTTTCTATTTCAAACATTCGTATACTTTTCGATCTTCCACACCTTTTCTTCTCCGACACACTCTATATACAAACAAATGGGTGTGTTATTTTTGCCACGTCATCAAGGTTTTCACACATTTTTCGGAAAAATACGGTTTAGGAGGCTCAGTTTTTCAAGTGGCTCTTTTCCGGAAATTCAATTTTTTTTGCTCCGAAAAATTTCAATTTGTGAGCATTATGGATTAATACTTGATTTGTTTTGTTCGCGAAAATTTCCATTTTCCACTTTCGAAAATCCAGAAATTCAGAAATTCAGAAATTCAGAAATTCAGAAATTCAGAAATTTCAAAAACTTAAATTTTTTCAAATTTTCAAATAATCCTTCTTCCTGTCATATGAATATGTCATTTTTCATCACTCGTCAAACTTTTCTTCTCATAAAAAATTTCCCAATGTTTAAAGTTTTTATAATCCTCCTATTTTTCTTTTCAGGTAGCCAAAAATCAAACAAAGTTTCCCTAAAAATTTGAAAAATTCAAATTTCGCGCCAAAAAATGGCAACTTCTATCGACAAACCACAAGCCAGACATACATCGAGGATGGTGACAAGACCCTATGAGCCGCCACCGGATTATGTGAGTTTTTTTTGACATCAAACTTTAAAGGCGCATATCTCAAGATCTGGAAAAGCTATTGAAAATTGTCAATTACAAAAATGTAAAGCATAAAAATTTACATATTTTGTTAGTTGACAACTTTTTGATAGCTATTTTGATTTTTGAGATATGCGCCTTTAAAGTTGGCGCGCGCCAGATAAAGGGGAAGGGAGCCTATGGACGCGCGCTACCTTTAAAGGCGCATATCTCCATAACCCGAGAAGCTATCAAAAGTGTGTCAAGTAATAAAATATGTAACATTTTATGCTCTTCATTTTT